ACTTCTGGTGCTCTGAATTGGGGGGGGGCGGCGTATTGAGGGTGGACACAACACCCACAAGATATCACTGCCTAAATAGGGCAAGCTGCTGTGACTGATCAACAGTTCAGATAAACATCATCAGGTGCAAATGTGCATACTAAAAAGGCTGACTGTGACCCAAGAGTATAACCACATCCTTTGGTATGCTGAAGGGTGCTAGTCCTATAAGCAGGGAGGAGCACCAGCACATACGGTGCTGTAGATACAGCCAGTTGAATTAGATTTGAAAAAGAGGAGTGAAAAAGACAAATACTGACTGGAAGGAGACTGAAGTTGTAGAAAGTGACATTTTCCCTTCCTGCCCTTACAGTGTGTAAGATGGACATCTCATTTTTGCAGCTTTTTGGTGGAACAGACTAAGTTCATGGATCTAGCTTCTGTCCAAACAGAATTCAGGTGAACTCTCAGCAGGAAATGCTTTGGACTATGAGGTCTCCTGTAGAGTACTAAAGTAAAACCAATCTCAAAGTTGTGCAGCTGGAACAGTCTGACAGTGTGACTGTCACAACTCACTTCTGAGCTACATAAATAGCAAGTTAATTAAGTGAAAGACAACTGATCCTGTAACCTTATCATCAGGCAAATTGAGATTGCCTGGGTCTGATGAAAAACCCACTGCCTCCTGAGGGGTCCAACCTTCAGAAAGTCACCCAGCAGAGACCTGGAGAGGTCAAAAGTATGGGGGAATCATGCAGAAGGGGTAAGAACCAAACTAGTTCTGTCCTTATTAAAGAAGTGGAAATAACCAAGAAGAAATAAAGAACTGTAAAATAAAAAAATAAAGAATAGAGGCGTCCACTAAAGATAGCCAGCTGAAAAAAGTTCCAAGACCAGAAAACCAAAATGAGAGAAGCAAAGAAGGAGCTAAATAAATCCATCTTCCGATACTGAATTACTTACAGTCCCATTTGGCTCCACTGCATTGTAGCACAAAGCTATCTCCCTCTATTTTAGATAAAAATGTCTTTCCATTTTAACTGGGACTAAAAGCTACCTTAACCATCAGTAAATAATATTAGACTAATTACACAAGTCTTTTTAGTTAATTTAACTCTACCAATTTTGCAGCTGGAAATGAAGGAAAGTCATAGAGAAGCTGATTTAATCCAACAGACTATGTTATTCATGTTGAAAGGAAGAGAATGAGCAAGAGACATAGTAGACAGATAAATAGTGATAGGAACAAGACTGTACAAGTAGAAGAGGAGAAAAGAGAATAGTAGGAACATAGCATTGTTCTTCCCTCAGGGTTCTGTAAATTTGAGGCAAGTTTCATAAAGCATCATCTACAGTCATCCATTATATGCTGTCTCTTGATGTAAGAAAACAATCAAGGAATTCTTGTGCAAGTAAATTACTGAATTCTGGTCCAAGCTAGGCCAGTGGAACCATTCACCTGAGTAATGATTGTCAACCAAGTAAAGTCCTGCAGGACCGAATTCCCAGCATTGCAATGAGGGAATAAACTGTGTGTCTCAATATGACCTGTTAACCTAAATAACACAAGATCATCTACAGCAGATTAAATAGACCACAGTTCCTGAAAGTTAGCTGAGAAATCAGGCTGAAGTTCCAGCTGA